TGGAACTAGATGGTCTTTAAGGTCCCTTCCAGGCCAAACCATTCTGTGATTGTATGATTTTCTGTTTCTCAGCGTCCATAGCTCTGCTTACAGGCAGCTAGGAAACGGTCTCAGAGCCATTGTGCCTTTACAGAATACAGATATAGGGCTACACATTTATTTCCATATATTCATGCAGTATGGAATGTTATAAATATTGTTACAAGTTTTGATATTTAAAAGTATTGAGAGCCTTTTGCATTTTTTCCAGTAGCTATCACAGTTTAGTGCTCAGTAGGATCAAACTTCAATATCTAAATCATGTCTTATTAAATCTTCTATGAAATGCCTGTGGGAATCTGGACAAATCACTTGCAAAAATAGCCCATTCCTCAGGTTTTATATAACTAATATAACGTTAAGCAATGTAAGACTATTTGCCAGGTACCCTGTACTGTGCCACAGTGATGATGATGATTCTGTGTTTTTTCTTTTTTCTTTTGAATTAACTTTATTTTTAAAAGATGTAATGTATTTGAGGCTGTTCCTTTAAAATTTGACTCTTGAAAGCAGAGATTTAAATAACTAAAGAAAGAATTTCTGTCCTTGTTGTAGAAAATTCCCTGTAGCACATACCATTTCAGTGCCTCTCCACTTCCCACTCCAGACCTTACTTTATTTATGCTGACGATTCCAGAATTTTTTAGGAATGTGTGATCTTTTGCATATACGCATGTTATTTATGACCATTGTGCAGTTTGCTAATGGCGTTTTTGTGGTTTAAAAGGAATGTGTTGTTTATTTAAAAGAATATTGTCATGTCCTGAGTGTGTTTTTTCATTTAAAATGCTTATACATTTTCTTTTTTTCCTCCTTCTCAGTTTTGCTTTACAAAGCAAGTTTCTTCAGAAGAGGAAGAAGGGATTTCATGTCCAGAGGGCGTATGTCGACTCTCAGATCACATCGAGAGCCACTGGTTAGTTGTCCTCAGGTTCTTTATCAGAACGTGCCATCGGACAGCTGGACACTCCTCCTGACTGCCACCTACTGCAGAAGGGGATCTGGCTGGTTCCTGCCCTGCTTGGGGACCTGTCTGCGTGTGCTTCCATTTGCCAGTTGAAAGTTGTTTCTTCGCAAGTGTACTAAGAAAATGCAAGCTTGAGGTGCGCTTCCAGGGAAGCAAATGATTTCTGCCAGCCATGTCACTACCTGAGTGGGTTTCCCGACCCTCTGACTCTGCGGGCCTTTGTTAGTAGTCACGCTGGGAGCTGTTGACCTACAACGTTGATGTTGAGCGTGCTGTGTTTTAAGGTTTTGAGGAAAATGCAGAGACGACATAGCAGCAACACTGACAGCGTTCCTCCCGAAAGGTAAATCTTTTTTCTCTCCAGAGGGGAATGTTCTGATGTGTGTGGTATGTTATAAATGAAAGCTCAACACTGAGAAGGGCATATACTTCCTGTGCGTGTTGTGTGGCCAGGCTTTCTGCTCGAGTTTAGGGAGTTCAGAGGCAGATTTACTTTCCTGCTCCATGCCAGTTGTTGACTGCTACAAACTACAGTGTTTCAGGTTTCAGGATCCAGTATGGCACGTAGGGAGACAGTTGGCTTAGTGTAGGCGGAACATTTTGGAGCTCTAGCAGAGATTTATGGCACAGGCCCATGAGGATCCTGAGCACTATCAATCTGAAAGGATCGATCTGTATGAAGAGAGGCGATTTGTACTTCTGTTATCAAGGTGTTTGAAAAGTATGCTGGTCTGAAGCTCCCAACTACTATGACTCGGTACTTTATAAAGATTTTGGATGATCCTTTACATCATCCCAGACTCTGTATCTGGCTTCTTGTATGTGAAATATATAGAAGTAGAATACCTCTAATTCATTTCTGTAATTATAACATCAGCAAGGGAGGCTTGCCGCTGTTGTTGTTCTGGTTCTAAATATTCCCTTGTGCTTTCCTAGGGTTAGAGCTTGACTTTTTTTTTTTTTTTTTTCCTAAAGAAGAAACTAATCTAATTACTCTGAGACAAAGATGGAACTAACGAATTTCATTGCTCTGGCTGAGCTGAGGTTGTCAGTGAAAGATTGTGATCACAAGCAGTCACTAGGTATTCCTTAGTGGTTTTGCTGGTAGAGGTGAAGCTTGATGTCATGACCACTTCTGGCATGTACCATCCTTAATTGCAGGGGAAAAGAAAGCCATTTTCAACATTTTCTGCATGATGCTGCCCAAGCCTCAGCACAGTCTGTGAGTTTTATATCAGCAGGTAAGCTGATATAAAGAGAGGCATGTAAGATGTTGTATGGGCCCTCTCATCTGGAGTGCAGAGTGTACAGACTTGTAAGGCACTTCAGCATCTCTTTGAATGATTACAGTATATTCAGGATAGGTGTCAAAAGGTAAGCAGAGTAATGCCAGCTGGCTTTTAGAAAGGCTTCTGGTTTTTAACAGGGTGAATACGCATTGTCAGTAACATAGGCTGAAGATTTTCTAACTGTAGAATGTAATGCTTCTGCCACTGGTCTTTAGTTAACTTCAGCCGACGCAGAATTTCATCCTTGTTTATTTGTTTTTAAATATGTCCCTGAATATTTCCTTCCTGGTGAAAGTATAGTCATGTATCCTGGAAGTATTGTTCCAAACAATACTCGTGTCTTTAACTGTAACACTGCATTCCACCCGATTTGTTTGTTATGTTCCCAGATGTAAGTACTGTCACATGATGTCCCTCTCTTGTGTATACATCCCTGAATTTTAATGTTAGGGGTAAAGTCCCAGGTCTGGTTGGTGAATATTTTGAACCAAAAAAGTGTTGTACAGTATCTTGTTGACTTGATTCCTTGCTGGAGCCTGTGGAGAGGCATTGGGAATGGGGTGTAGCTATAAAAAACCTTATTAGAGGTTTACTTAGTGGGAAGGCATGCCCAGAGAGGCTTGAAGCTGCCTCCAGAGTGAGGTGAGCTTCTCTCACAAGGCAGTGCTCTGTGCCCTGTAAGATGCCTGGGGGGGGCTTTTAAACCCATGGGGGAGAGAGTGTTAAGGGCCCTGTATGTGCCTGCATGTGCTGTCTCAGCTTGTGACCACTATTTCTAAAGTTAGAGATCTCCAAGGATTAAAATCAGGAGAGACCAAAGCTCTGCAGCATGCTGTATTTGTGGGCTTTGCCTCTTGCTGAGCTTTACTTGTTCTTTACTCTCCTTTTGGAAGTTAGAGATGTATTAGCTGTCCACCAGGCATTTGCTGCCTAGTGATTGTTCCACCTGTTACCCATATTGGTCCCTGGCAGCTAAACTTTCCGTGTATTCATTTCAGTACCACAGTCCTGAGTTCAGGTGAAGAAGGCCTGCTTTCTTTTGGTGTTAGATTGAAGATATTTAAGGCTTTCTTTTTGGAATCTGGCTGTAATCTAACAAGTTCAGGAAAGAATCTGTGCCGGATCTAATTCTGTCCAGAGCCCAGTAATTTGGGTACATCCATGTCCAATTTGCTGAGAATATAAAAAACCCCAATTTCTCCTGACCCATTTAAAATATTTGTGGCATCAATGACACACAACCAGCTCTCAGTGCTTCTTTCCCCTGTTGACTGCCTCTTGTTGTGTATTCGTCAGTAGGAAAGTAGTGCTCATCCCTAAATAAAGACAGATTTTGGGGGCAGGTCATTTCATTGAGTTAGCTTGATTAATTTTTTTATATATAATGTGATTTTTCTTGGTTGTGCTGTGTAAAGTTGCATGGGGTTTTGTATGTTTTTCTTTAAATAATAAAATGATTATAGAAGATGATAAATTTGGCATCAGATGTGTTATTTCTTTGGTTCCTCCAAAAGTAAAGGGAGTGTTTGGGAACTCTGTTCCTCAGATGAGGGAACTGGTGCATTTTGATCAGTTCTTTAGAAATACTCTGATCTTATCTTGAGAGTCTGATACTGGCCCCTAGTTCAGCAGCTGAGACTTTCCAACAGCAAACAGAGGGAAAAGCATCTGTTGTTAGGTGACCTACGTATTGTGATAGTGTGTGAGGAACTCTTAAATGACAACAGTCAGGATTGGGCTAAAAGACTGAGCAATTCTATGGCACTCATTTTTCTTTCATCACTTATCTCTAATCTCTGTCCACTGCAGAAACCGGAGCCAGACAGTCAGTTCTGAAACCAGCGTGGATGAAAGTGGAGTTTTTGAAAGTCTGAAGGCTGAAGCTTCCTCCCCACAGCAGCTGTTCTCAGGCCTGGCAGGTATCCCCTCGGGCACCATCACAGCCACGCCGTTCCAGTTTCCAGCAGGAGGCGGGGAAGTATTCATTCAGATGCCAGCCCCAAGGGAGGAAGGGGCCAGTCGCACCGAAGGAGCCCCATTTCACCACCGGCAGTCGTCCCATCATTTCCACCACGGCCATCACCGGGGTTCATCTCTGCTGCACATGGCCGGAGGCGACCGCCATGGGCATGCTGAGGAAGGCAGTGATGAGCAGGCTGGGACTCCAGCCCCGGCTCTCTCAGAGCTAAAAGCTGTGATCGGTTGGCTGCAGAAGGGACTTCCCTTCATCTTGATCCTCCTGGCTAAAGTTTGTTTCCAGCATAAGCTCGGTAAGCATCTGTCCTTTCTGGATTGCAAGTGTATTAGAGGGTGGTTAGGAAGCTTTATCATGATGTAGTGTCATATATTTATCCACGTGACAGTGTCTAGAGGTAGTCTAGCATGAAGGGGACATACTCAAATGCATGGGATGATGCATTTGATAAATTCACCCTGCTTTCAGGCTGTTTTCATCTGTGTCAGTCCTGTCTGTTTCCTGTCCTGAGCTGCGGGAGTTCTGTGTCTTTTCCTAATCCCTCCCTGACATTCCTGTAGGGGCTGGGGGTGTTACCAAGGTTTCTCACTCAGACCTCTCTCTGGGAGAGATGGGGAGAGCTTACGTGAGTGACTAGCAACGCCTCCTGTGTAGCACAGAAGGGTTCAGAGGGATGAGTACTTGTATAGCTGGAAAGATGGCAGTTGTGAAATGACACCAAACAGCATCAGCAGTAACATCTAACAGTTGGTCTTTGGAATTCCCTAAAGAATATGTCTATCCAGGTTTCTTTAATGGTACCTGAGTATTTCAGCTCCTCAGTGGTCATGTAAAATCTATTAATCTAATCTTCCTCTTACTATGAAATTGTACGTGTGGCATGTCTGAGGATCCTTACTCATTTTGGGAGTAGCATGCTGAGATTATTACCCCAGGGAAGCCAGGGATTCAAGAAGTGCTTGAATTTAGTCCACTTACTGTTCTGCCAGTATTCCCAAAACCAGGTATTGATTCATGTCTGCAACATTTTGCTCTTTGGACCTGGTAACTTAATTTTCATTTAGCTTGAATTTGAACTTTATATTAGAGTGCAGACTGCTCTGTTTTAGTCACCTATATATTTTAATTCCAAATGCATCCAGAATATCGCCCAGGAATTTTTTTTTTCCAAGCTTGAGATGCTGACAGCAAATGCCTTAGGACTGAAGACCCTCCTGCCCAGCCTTCCCTGCTTTGACAGTGTCTCTCCCTGCAGGGATTGCCGTGTGCATTGGCATGGCCAGCACGTTCGCATACGCCAACTCAACCCTCCGAGAGCAGGTCGCTCTGAAGGTGAGAACAGCATCTTCCTCTCTTGTGTTCCCAAGTAACACTGCTCTTTGTAGACAAACCAATGTCTGTGTTGATCCTTCTTCTGCAACCTAGGAAGGAATGCCATTATAAGGATACGGTTCTGTAAGAGTGCTGTGCCGTACTCCTCACTTCCTCTTCCTTCTTCTCCCCACTGATGCTTTTCCACAGTTTCCATCCTGCTCCTTGTGAAAGTATGACATAATAAAACGACGAGAGGAGGCGTCAGGGATGCTGTAATCTGCTTCTGGCTCTGCCACTGCCGGGCACTGCACCATCAAGCACTTCTCTGCGCCTTAGTTTCCCTTTATGTACAGCAGAGCTGCTGAAACCTATTTCAGTAGTTAATGGTGAAATTTAATTTACTAGCAACTAGATAATATTTTAAATGTTCAGCTGAAGGATTTTGTAGCTGTATTACTTGTTAGTATCTTTATAAAGCACTGTTGATAATATGCTTTAGACTATAAAGAAACCAGCAGATCTTCTCAGTGTCAGCAGAATACTTCAACAGCACTAAAAGCACAAGACTAGAATTGCTTTTTTGTAAATATTACAGGGGTGATGCAATTTTATACTTATACCTTGTGGAATAAATGTGATACAGTGCTGAATGAACAGATAAATAGAACAGTCATGTCACAGATTGTTGTTGCCTTGCACCTTGCACCTCTGTCTTTCCAGCAGTGTGTCCCTTAATCTGCCTGCTTTAAATCTCAACCTAACATCCCTGGCAGTTGAATGGCTACAAGAGCTATTTTCTTAATAAATCAGCTCACAAGAAAAATGCTGGCTTTTTTCCTCCCAGGCGTAAAATTTACTCTCTAGAACTACACTGGGCCAAGACCAAGGGCAAGATCTTCTGCCATCCAGTTTCCATCTATAATAATCCATGGCTTTTGACATGCACAATTTCCGTTTCTATTGACCTTTAATTATTTCTTCAATCAAAAATGCATGTTCTAGGACCTCCATGCATTCAGATAACACTCATATGTGCTGCATGCAGTGGTGGGTTATGTTCCATTTGATTTAGCTAAGCCTTGCTCTAAGTGACTTTGGATCTATTTGTAAAACACCCTTTTGATGAAGTGTCATTCCAAACAGGTGACAACTCAGAATTACAGTACAGTGTATGGAACTGACTTTTTTTTTAATCTGCCTGTCAAACTGCTTTTTAAATATCAGGAAAATTTAGATGTCCCAAGAAGGATCCCAGCTTTGAAAATTGTGTTCTGCAAGTAAGGCTGTCATTCTCACCAGTGTATTTCAATTAATTTCTCTAAAGTTGCTTTATTTAAGAAGGTTATGTGAGTGAGAGCCATTTCTGCTTGTGTTTATACAAGTCTTTACCTAGCAGCCTACTTCTGAGTCTTAGTCCTATGTAAATAAACTAATTACTGAACACTTAGCTGCATATTTGTGTCCCCTGGGTTGATTTTGCATTTTTTTCAGCTGTTGAAGGCTCAGTGCAACCCCTGAGACTTTGAATTTATCTTTGCTTCTTTTTCTTGCTCAGGAGAAGCGATCAGTGTTGGTTGTCTTCTGGATCCTGGCCTTTCTCACCGGGAACACCTTGTACCTGCTGTACACGTTCAGCTCTCAGCAGCTGTACAACAGGTGGGCAAAATTTACACTGTACATGGTGGAAGCAGGTGATAATTGCCAGGGAGGAAAGGAGGGAAGCCCACTTTTCCCCTTCTGAGAGGAAGTGTGTTTACTTAAGGTATCTGCTGTCTTTGTTACATCTTTGTAATACCTTTCAGTGGAGGAAAAGAATGTGTGCATTGCTTCTACCAGTGGACTATGCTCCTGTCAATAAATGACAAAACCAGGGTCTAAATGGACCAGGGTGTGATGTTATACCATGAGGTTGCTGCTTGAAACAGGTGCACTTGCAGTTTTCTTATGTATTGAAGCAGGGTGGATACTTTTTTTTATAGTGGGACTTCTCCATTTTGACCTCCGTGACTGAACATGAAGAGCAGATGTTGGAAGCAAATAAGAAATTGATCCACTGATTTTCTTCTTCCTGTAATGTTTTCTTTTCTCCCCAGTATATCAAGCTTTGAGATAACTGGAGATGAAATAGCCGTGTTTTACTTCAGTGTCCTCAGGGCTTGGAGGCATTTGGATCTGGGGCAGTTAAGGTAGTCCCTGCTTTCAGATTCTGACTAAAGCAGTTCTCAAATACAGAAAAGTTAGTACACATGGATTTGGTTCAGTACTATCCCTGCTTGTTATAAGGCAGAGATTAAAGGACAGATAGGAAACAAAGAACAGAACTTAAACAAGGGGATGTTAGTAGAATAAATCGGAAGAAATGGAGCAATATCAAACCTACTTACTTGGGAAAGTAGTTTTGATATTAGTAGCCAAAACCGTATGACTTACTTCCCAATGAAAATTTTATTTCTCCCACTGAAGGGAACGTAAAACTTCAGACTGAAAACACAATGTTGGCTAGATGGCTCTTGGGTATGTTTTTTCTGTCATTTATTTCATTGCTTCCCTGCTTCTTCCCACCAATACTGACAGTGGAAGTGTCAAGGTCTGCTCACAACGCTGGTGTCCTTTGGAATTGCCCCGATGTATTTGGGTTTGAACATTGGAAAGTTGTGTATGTAAACACTTCTAGAAAGGGGGAAGAGATGAGAAGGCTTGTATGCCTGGGTCCGAAGAAGCAGTGCAAGCCTTGGGGTACTCTGTGTAGGGCTGGTGGGAGGGAGTGGGAGAAAAGGAACAGGTATGGCAGAAAGGTGTGAAAGCACTGAGAAGAAGTTAGCACCAGAGGGAAACAGTGTGTCCCTAAGAAGGTGGCTAAGGTTAAAAGCATGAATAGGACTGGTTTAAAATAAAGGATAGATCATCTAAAATAAAAGGGTTTCAGCAAATTGGGGCCATCCTACATGCTGTTTAGGGCATGGTTTACTAACAGTGAACAGCCTGGGCAACAGCTTCACTGCACAGCCCTATTCCTGTGAGTGCTGTAGTGGTGCCTGCTGCATCAAGCTTTGGGGGGACCTGTGACTATTCATGAGTCAGACCTGTGTAATTAGAAATAGCTGCTTTGGTTTTGTTTCTTTCTGGCTTTTTTTTTTTTTTTAACTGGAAATCTTCCATTTCCTGATTTTTTTTTTTTTTTTGGCTTGTTTCTAGTGCATGAATAGTAGTAAAGTCTCTGATTCTGTTTCTGTTTTTAGGGTGTAATTTTACCTGTTGTGCTGTGCCAGTGTTGTGAGTATTTTAAATTTATGTTCAGGCTTTTCATTCTGGGTTGGTTTTTCTTTTTTTGCCTTTTTTTTGTTTTGTTTTTTGTTAAGTTTTTCATTTTCTACTGTGAGGCTTTAGTCAGTAAATATCCTGAAGAGGAATCCTGGTTTTTCAGAGTAGGGTCTAGTCCTCATCGCTGCTCAGGTCAGCTCCTGCCCATTGCTATGTGAAGCTCTGCTGTCGTAGACTCCCCTTCTTTACAGAGCAAAGGTTCATCCCAGTCAATACCATATGTAAGGAACACTAGACCTTCTTGGATCTTTAGTCCAGGTAAGAGTTGCTAATTAACATAGCCCAGCTGTTGGTTTGCTTCAGACAGAGGCAAGCCACTGTGTGAGCATGCCACACCTCAAGTTCTGACCTTCCTGTCCCAGTACAGCGCAGCCTTTGTCACCAGCTCATTTCACACACACGAGTAGCATTAGAGACTGTGCCTGTGCAGTAGTTCTGCCTGTGGCCTCAGAGGAGCAAGGCGTAGCAGTCTTGACTTGGCCATGACTCCTCCAAGGAATCATGACTGCTGATGACTTGGACTTGCAAGACTGAGCTTTCACAGTCAGATCTGACAGGCCAAGCCTGTGGACTAAAGGTCTTGTCATTATACCAAAGGCTCTTTCGTGGCGTGGTTGTGATGGAGATTGCAGTCTTCCAAAACAGATTTCTTACATCTTTGGGTCCTGTTTTCTGTTAGTGGGCAAACCTGCTGACCTCAGTGGAAATGGGCAAGAACAGACAAAGTCAAGAGGCCCAGAGGAACCACGGGACTAATTTGCATGTCTTATCCTATTGCCCTTGAGAGCTTCACTGAAGTTCAGCGAAGTTTCTAGGCGTTCTCCAGCCAGCAGTGAATACAGCTGGTATCAAGCAGCTTAAGTGAGGCTCTTCTCATTGGTATTTGAGCCTTGTTGTCATACCTTTCAGCCTTATATTTCTGAAACCCAACCTTGAGAGGCTGGACTTCTTCGACCTGATGTGGATCGTGGGGATCGCAGACTTTGTACTGAAGTACCTCACCATAGCATTGAAATGCCTGGTTGTTGCCCTGCCTAAGATCATCCTAGCTGTCAAGTCAAAGGTAAGAGTCTTTTCTTCTTGATATACTGATGTTTGTCTTTGATAATCTGATGCTTTTACAACATGTTTACATCATGAAATGTGGGTAGAAGAATAAAAATAATAAAATCTCTGATAACAGAACAGAAAGTCATCTGGATAACGAGTTTTGCATTTTGAGCCATCGCGGACTTGAGCAAGGGTTTGGTAATGCCAACAAGTAATTAAAGTCCAGAGAGAGAGAGGGGTAAGCATTGCTGGAGAAGGACTAGATAGTAGCGATAACTTTTCTGCTTGACTTTGTTCTAAATCTTGTTTTCTGACTAATCTCTGTAATGAGATATTCCTGAAGCACAAATCTCTTCATTTAATGGAAAGAAATTGCAGCACTTGGGTCAAAAGAAGTAAGTGTTAAATCGAAGCTACTGATGCTACAAAAGATAGTGCCAGTTCTAAGCATGGCTGAAGAAATATTTTAACTAAATGGTTAACATACTTAAATGTTTATAAAATCATATGTAGATGAGGCCTAACTTTTGAAACTTTGTCACTGTTTCTCTTGAAATACCTTTTCATATTTTTTCACTCTTACAGATCTGTCATGCTGGCCCTTCTCTACTTAGTAGTGTCAACATTTCAGTGGCAAACGTAGCAGTGTGTATTATTTGCATTTGGTAAAGAAACTTCCTGGCAGCTCTTGGGGTGAAAGGCACTATATAGATGCAAGATATTATCATTAATCGCTGAAAGTCTCAGGCAGGGCACTTAAGGGGATATCTAAACTGGGAATAGTTTTGCTTACAAATGACATGGGTGGCAGGGGAGTTGAGCAGTTTGTTCCTGCACAGCAGGGCTATTTGAGATGGTTATTAATTTATTTCTGGCAATTGTCCAGCTCTTTTTTTCCTTCTTCTTCTATTATTATTATTTTATTTTAGGAGATTAATGTGCTAGGTCAGAGCATAATCCAGCCTGGGGAGGGAGGGAAAAGTGATGTGAATAGTCTTCCCAAGATAAATTGCAGTGTTGGAAAAGGTTCACAGCCTTTGCTTGCTTGTCTGAGCGCTATCCCAAGTACTCATTAATCCTTGTCGGGAGAGAAGAAAGAGAAGGGGTCTTTATTTGCAGCTACAGTGGGAGGCTGGTAAGATCACATCTGTCAAGGGCCTATAATGACTCAGAGCACAGATGCTTCGTTTTTAATACCTTTTTCTGGATAGCAATATTTCTCACTTTTTTTAAGTCCCTTTTTGTCTTAGAATGTTGTTGATGGTCTTGCTGTCCCTTGACATCTGAAACTGCTGTTACCTACCACTATGGATCTGGATTTGTTTTTATCCCACTGCACACTGCATCCATCAAGCCAACCAGGATAAGATGTGGTGTAACAAATTAAGCCAGATCAAACTGGGATGGGAGAGCTCCAAGAGAACCCCAGGATGCCATAGAAATTGTAATTGGTAAGCACATAGTTGAGCCTGATGACCCAGCTGGCTTCTACACGCCAGATCGCTGGTACACACCTGATTTTTCAGATGAGTTTTTTTACATGTAAGCTTTTCTTAAGTTAGAGCAGTTCTGTTGCATTTTAGGCACATTAACTCTGACCAAATTCTTGCCAAGTTATTTGCTACCTTAGTACTTGCCAGATATTCAGTTATTTTGTTTCTCCCTCTATGCTCGTAGTAGCGTCTCTGCTCGAAGCCTAGCCTGCAGCATATGAACTTCTGGATGGCTGTTACTTAGAGGTGGCGCGTGGCAAACTGCTGGAGAAATATAAATGTAATTCACAGAGTAGAGCTAGAAGATTTTTTCAAGATGTATACATACTGAGAACTTTTCTGCTGATAGAAGTAGCCAGAGCAGCAGCCTCTAGGTCCCCATAATACAGGGCCTGAGGTGGAGGTTGCTGCACTGTCAGGGATAGGGTTCAGCACAGCTGTTGTTGGGATAGAGGTGTTTAATCCTGAGCTTTCTTGCAGTACCTTCTTGCTGGCAGTCAGTAACAGATGATAAAACTTGCCCATGGATGGGATATCAGGGACATTCATCATTCTGCACTCAACCTCTGAGCAGGCTCTTCAAGTTTTCCTCATTTTGGAAGTTCAAAGGCACTTCCAAAGCTCCTCTGGCTTTTCATGCTGCTCCTTGAGATTCTAGTCTTCTCTGAATACTGTGCAGCTTTCACTGATGCTTGCATAGCTTTTCTAGTACAAGGCATCTCCTCTGAACATCCTTTTAAGTCTTCCTCTCCATATCCATTGTGACTGGAGCAAGATCAGATTCCTTTCTTTTTCTTTCACACATCAAAGTCTTCACATCTCTTCTGGTCTCCCTTCAGTCTGCCCTGTCTTCCAGACTGTTTCTCCAGTCTGCAAGATGCATTTGGATTATAGTCTTTCCTTCCAGTGTGTTTACAGCCTTTCCCAGTTTAGTGTCAACTGCACATTTGATAAACCTACTCTGTTCCATCAAGATCATTAATGAACATAGCAATTAGTACTAAACTCTGCTTGCCTCAGTTAGGCGCATCTTTACATTTTAACAGTGAACACATGAAAAATTTAGGCTAGAGAACTCAGTTCTCCTAGTCTAAAGGACCTGGGTCATGTATTCCTGGTATGGCCTCATCACAGGAAGGACAACATTTGGTTTAAGATGACAAGAACCTTCTTGGATTTATAGCATCTATTTATGCTTTAACTGAGAAAAGGCAAACTGAAATTAAAAGACAAAAAAGTTGGTCTCTGCAGTCAGAATACAGAGTTGTAAACATGATAATGAGCGTTTGAAATGTGAAGCATGACGACTGCTATATTATCAGGCTACAACTAGCCAGGGTTCTCCAAGCTTGAATAACTCAGAAATGGAGTATCTCCACAAGCAACTCCTCCAAAGAATGAGGGATGATTGGAAATTTGGCAAAATAATCCCAATTGTCCCAGGTTCCAAACCAGCCCGGAAAACAGAGGTGCCAAGAGAGGCTGCGAGTCAACAATCAGGCTGAAAGGCAGGGGAAGAAGAGCTTTAGGAGAGAAAAGCAGAAAAAGGAAGGTAACCCCAGCAGACTTCAGTCTCCCATCTCTTCAGTCAGAGTTTGTGGGAGAAGGAGCGTACCTGTGGCTAAAGACATCTGTTCCTCCCCCAGGAGCTGTGATGGACGTGTCAAGCTGAGTACAAGTTTTAATAGCAGCTGGGCTCATAATTTCTTTGGAAGGGGGGCTTGGCTCCCTCCCTGCATGCTGAAGGCTCTCCATTAAAAAAGGCAAATAAGATCATTTGGTTCAATATAAAATGAATTAAAGTAAATTAAACTGCAGGAGCCATGTGGCCTGCAGAAGCCTCCATTGTTGTACACACATAAATGGCAGCTTTTCATTTTCACTGCTAAGGAATGACAGCTTGAGGGGGGTGGAATTAAAAACAAGGAAATAAATAATAAAAAGACACAGTTGCCAAAGATTTCGTTTAGGAAATCCCAGGTGTCTGCAAGTCTCCCATCCCCTCCTCATGTTGTCAGCAATCTAAGCTGATATCCTGGGGTGAAGCGTGGAGGGGAGGGGGGAAGAAAGAAAAACAGACCAAAAGAACCAGTATCCCAGGTTCTTTTAGGTGTATATATATATATGTCTGTCTCTACAGGGGGAAAGATACCAAGGACACGCTTTTTTCCATGGTCCTAATGGCTGGGATATAAGAAAGGTCCTAAGAAAGAATTTTCTTTGCGTGCTCAACACAGATGTTCAGCCAAGTTATGAGGGACTGCATTTCCAGAGGATTGAAAATCCAAAAGGATTTTCACTAATATTTGTTTGTTGAAAACACAACATGAGATTACTGTGAATAAATATTTGTCAGTTTTGTTTGAAAGCCGGATCTAGACATTGCAAATGAGGGGGTTTATGGCAAAACTGGTGTTACTGATGTGAAGTTTTTTCTTTATGCTGTTCAGATGGTGCCAGTGGCGGGTGTACAAATACTGGTTCGCACTAGCACTGTGGACTCCTCACTGCATCTCTGAAAATATTTGATTGGGGGAGTTTTTTGGTGTTTTTTCTTTTTTTGAAGTACCATCTCATCAAATCTGGTTGGAGAAAACTTGGCCTGCATGCCACAGCCATTCTTTACAGTTTTGCACTTGGACGTTGGACAAGATCCCTTTTCCAGGTGCATACTGTGTTTCCTAGCATAGCTGGTTACAGCTCTGCCATGTAAACTGGCACACTGAGCTTTCTGTATTCCTTCTGGAGCTGCACCTTGGACATGAAAGAAATATCAGAATGTCTTTTGCTCAAAGTAGGGTGATTTGGATCATTCAGCTGAAGCGAACCGCCTTAAGGCAATGTATTACAGGGGCAGCTGATCTGTGATAACTGTGTATTCTGTGAGTCAGAAGCTAGCCAGGATTGATTTTGAGTAGCCCCAGTGCTCTTCCATGTTTGATGGAGCACAAGCATGTCCACAGTTACTTTGGTTATCACGTCGCCACCTATTTCCCTGTGCACAGCCATGTGTAATTAAACAGTTATTGTAAGGAAAATAAGCACTTACCTTATAATGATTACAATTGTTCTGCAGCCTGCCTCCTTCTCATGTCAGAGCTCAGCTCCATGGGATACCATGGTCCAAACTGACCCTTCTTCCATCACGTGAGTAGTTGCACAAGTGACTTGCATGCCTAGGATTTTTATGCTCCTTGAGCAACAAGCTCTTCTTGTACTAGGCATACACACAGAACAACTTGTGACAGAACGAAATCCATCCTTCTGCATGGGAGGAAGAGAGCAAGCTGGAGCAGTTTGCTGCTGCCAAGGCACTTTCTGCAGGCCCCAGCCTCTTCCAGAAGGCTCACATTAGGAGACAAGGTGCCAGAGGGAAGTTGTGTTAATTGTGATGGTGATGGCAGCAGCCTTCTAATGTCCCTGCAGCCTCTCTGTCATCATAGGGCCAGATATTTATCAATCTTTTATCTTGAAGTTTGTGTACATCTTTCATCCTGAGAAAAACAAGGTCTCGGAGCAT